ATCACGGGGAAAATGGCTCTGGAACATGTACGATCGCAGCCGTCGGTCTAGAAATGGTCGGTCATTAGGTGGCCATCGTCTTCATTGGAGGTTGTTCTCATTGCCACCGTAAAAAGGGATCCACTGTCAGTGTCCATCCCGGAAGATCCACTCGGGGGTGTTGCGTGGAGGGCCAAAGCCGGTTTTGATAGGGTTATCCATGTCAGCAGTTCTTTGTTTGCTTGGACTTGTTTTGCTTTTTTGGAGGCCTGGTAAATGAGGCCAATAACGGACAGTCACAACACTAGTAACTACTTCTAGCCCGTTCGGGATGGTTTTTGTTTTGTTTTTCCCTGCCGATGAACATCCATCATCGTCACCACCACCACTACCACCATCATTCTTTTCTATTCTTTTCCTCCTCCTACTCTCACAACGGCCACAGCTATATTGAGTTCTCTATATCCCGAAATTCCCCACCATCATTCCATGAATCCACCTCTTTCAATGACTTATCGACGACTTATCCAGGCGAAGCGGAGACGGACGGATACTCTCGGTGGGTCCACCGCGCTAAAATTCATATGCGAGAGAAGAGAGAGACTGACACTTTGCAGAAAAGCCGGTCCACTTTTCGACATTCACTCGCAGTCGGGGGTTATCGTCCAATCCACCGGGTTGATTCTTCTGGCGATGAGATCATGGCGCTCTTCCCACACTCTCTGCCTCCTCCAGAATCAAGTAACTAATGGTCGAATGGTTTGACTATCATTGACTATCAAAAATGGCTCTCTACCTCCTCGGCTCATCACGGTCGATCTCTTCTCGCTTTCCACTCTCTTTTCTCCCGTCTCTTCGGTTTGGCCTTCTTCTTCTTCTCCCCTTCCAAACTATATTTTACGTTCTAGACTCAACTTATTTTTGGTTCGCCCCCGTCCAAGGCCGCGAAATCTCTCCACCCACGTTTTCACGCCGTTAATGCCATTGTCGGTGCCATATATCTGGAAAATTTTACTCTTGCGTTCCTGAACATCTATCGGCTCCTTTCATCTGCGTCCTGTCTTCCACAATTGTCCTTCGCTGCCTCTCACTACCTCTCGTTATTTTCCGCCTCCGACGACATTCGCTCTACATCTTGCATATTATCCGCCTGAAGCTTCTCTCTTTTTTTCTTCTTTTCATCGCTTTCCCCCATCCCCTCTTTACCCTCTCTTAAAGTTTTGAGCTTGAGCAGCTGGACTGCTCAACCACCCAATGTCGCATTCCCGTGAGAGCAGTGGTTCTTACGAATGGCTGAACCCCCAAGTCAATCCAGAGCAACCCGAGACAGCAGACCATCGTCATGATCAGGTTGTCGAGCAGCCTTCCCCTCCTAGCCCCGAGCTACGCCCCGACGACGCGCTGAACGAGCACTCTCGCCCCCAAAGAGTGAGATTTCAGTCTACAAGTGCTCAGGGATCGGATACCCCTCCACCCGTTCGACCCTCGATGGCTCGTTTCGATTCAGACCAAACCCTCATGTCGGTCCACTCCATCAATCCCACATCCGCCCGTTCGACCGACCTATCCGACGCCCTCCGCGCAGAGGCGGAAGCAGAACCCACTACATTGGCAAGAGGGCGAGATAGCAGCGCGAGCCCCCCCGGAGTTCCCCTCGACTACGATCCCGAGAGATCAAGGTTCAGCAATGACGGTCCCAATCGCTCCCCATCCGTCGGCGCACGGTTGAAGGCTGCTAGCAAGCTAATCCGTCAGAAGACAGTCCGGCTGGGCGAACGGCTCGGCCGACCCCAAGATGGTGGCGAGGACCTCGGGGCATCTCTTTTACCCGACGACCTTGAGGGCGGCGTTCCATACCATGAAATCCAAGAGAGGAGGAAGCCCATAAACGAAACCCCGGAAGAGGAAAAGCAGGATTTTGCTCCGAGCGCAGAGGCGCATCGCCTTGTGCGTCGAGTAACTCAGTCTCAAAATGCCTTGCGCCAACGCAAGCCGAAATCGGCTTACACGCGGTCGGGCCAGACCACCCCAGAGGGTTTGGGCCGCCCTGACTCTTGGTATAGCGCCAGGTCTCGGTCATTTAGCGGTGGAGGCATCTTGTCCCAACTGCTGAAATTGCAAGCCGGTCAGACGGGCTCAACAGAAAGTGTCATTACTGACTCATCCGACAGTGAGTCGCAGGTCTCGTCGGGGGCCGCAACGCCGAAATCTGGGGCAGCGACTCCCAAGCGGGAAAAGCTGAAGTGGTACAAGAAACCAAACCATCAGTCGACAGCTTCTCTGGTAGAAGCCTCGATGAACCTGAGCCGTGCCAGCCTTCCCGCTTCAGCGGACCCTCTTGCGTTTGCTACCCCGAAGAAACGTAAGAAGAAGGCCTATGGCAAGACCCGCTTGGAGGACGAGATTCGTGTGACGGTCCATATCGCAGAGATCCTTGCCCGGCAGCGCTATATCATGCAGCTGTGTCGTGCATTAATGCGTTACGGCGCACCCACCCATCGTCTAGAAGAATATATGAAAATGACAGCGCGTGTGCTGGAGGTCGAAGGCCAATTCTTGTATCTCCCGGGATGCATGATCATGTCCTTCGATGATCCCACCACCCGCACGGCCGAGGTCAAGCTTGTCCGCATGGTTCAGGGCGTGGATCTAGGTCGCCTAGCCGAGACTCACAACGTGTATAAGAACGTTGTCCACGACCTAGTAGGGGTCGAAGAAGCTAGCCAGGAGCTGGACAGCATCATGCAGCGCTCTCCGCGCTTTAACAAATGGCTCTTGGTCCCTGCATATGGGCTGGCTAGTGTCGCCGTGGGTCCGTTCGCATTCGATGCCCGACCGATTGATATGCCTATTTGTTTCTTTCTGGGATCCCTCGTCGGATTTATGCAACATATCTTGGCACCCAAGTCCGTGCTGTATTCCAACGTGTTCGAGGTGTCGGCAGCCGTTCTAACGTCCTTCCTCGCGCGTGCATTCGGCTCCATCAAGTCTCCTTTCGAAGGTGAGACGTACCTTTTCTGTTTCTCGGCTCTCGCCCAATCCTCGATCGCTCTCATCCTTCCTGGTTTCATGGTGCTGTGTAGCAGTCTGGAACTGCAGTCACACCAGATGATTGCGGGGTCGATCCGTATGGTCTACGCTATTATTTATTCGCTCTTCCTTGGTTACGGAATCACGGTGGGCACGACAATTTATGGGCTTATCGACGGTGGTGCCAACTCTGAGACGACGTGCAGGCGGCTGGACGTGTGGGGCAGCGAGTATATTCAGCATTTTATCTTTGTGCCGGTCTATGTCGTCTTCCTCGCCATCATCAACCAAGCCAAGTGGAAGCAGGTGCCAACAATGATTGTCATTGCGATTAGTGGCTACGTTACGAATTACTTCAGCACCAAGAAGCTGGGCTCCAATTCGGAGGTCGCCAACACGGTGGGTGCGTTCACGGTCGGGCTTCTTGGCAACTTGTACAGTCGACTCTGGCATGGCCATGCCGCCACGGCCATCCTTCCCGGCATCTTTGTGCTCGTCCCATCCGGCTTGGCCTCCAGTGGCTCGCTAATGGCTGGTATTACGTACGCCAACGAAGTACGGGAAAATCTGGCCAAGTCCAACAGCAGTGACAGCCTCAACAGTGCTAGTCAGGATACATCGATCGCCAGCTTGGGTTTCGGTATGATTCAGGTCGCCATCGGTATCACGGTCGGCTTGTTCATTGCTGCTTTGGTCGTGTACCCCGTTGGAAAACGACGCAGCGGTCTTTTCAGTTTCTAATTTCATGGATAGCATTTTGCATTTGTTGTATTTTTGCAGCGTGTACGACTTACGTTTGGGATAGAGAGGTCCTTTTTTCTTTTTTTTTTTTTTCTCTTTTTTTTTGTATATTGGCATACTGTTCATACTTGATCCGTTGCGTTTTAGCCCGCCGGAGTATATAGATTGTGTAGACACTTGGAGCGACAATTACACGTCATTTCTAGCCAGGATATACTGCACCCGAACTGTATGTCTCTCTCGCCTTCCGAACGTTTCTCTTTGAAGCCATTTGCGCTTGTGAGAATCGTCTGAGTAGTATGTCATGTAAGGAGTTTGTACCGTTGAGCCTACAAAACTATCGTGTCATAGGTCAAGGTGGGAAATGCATACTTAACTTGACCCCCGACAATTATATATAACAGGATCATTCCATGAAGTGCGATGGAATTTAACGACTTTAACCAAGCCGCGAAGGGCAGAGTCTATAATATGAAACTGTCGTATGACAGCGAGAAACTTGTAGGATGATCTATAGCACCTCCTCGACGTACGGCATACCATCAATATACTGAGAAGGATCTTTGAAAAGAAGGAAGTTAGGTGGCATGATAATGTGGCTGATAATGTCAGAAATAATGTCGTCTAATATCCAATTGGGGATGTGGTTTAGTGGTATAATACTCCCTTAGCATGGGAGTGGTCCGGGGTTCGATTCCCCGCGTCTCCATCTTTTTTGGCTTCGATCATTTTATATCCGTCCACCTTTTTTATACCTTACCAACCCTTAGGGCAACAACCGCACGTGCAACAACTACGACGGAAGGACTTCTGTTCAAACTACATACATTGTAGTCCCTGCATGGTAACTGGTGCTGAGCACTCGTCTTCGTGCTACCTAACTCGTACTAGACTTTATGCCTCTGAGAGAGAGTTTATGAGACGGTTGGAGTTGACCGTGTAACTAACTTGTCGAGAAGGTCGTAGCGACCAGAGGGCTCGGTGACCTTAGTGATCCCGCCGACGGACTAAGCACTTAGTTTGGAGCTCAATCCGCTTCATGCATCTCGACCAGCAAGAGACACGGCTCACGGTGTGACTCCAAGACACGGAGATCCTGCGAGCCAAGAAACGCCCGCATGGCCTGACACGAGCATAACCTCGGAAGTTCTCCAGGTCAACCATTCAGCCTAAAGAGGGCAATCTCAACGAAATGCAGTGTCAACTTGGAAACTGCAACAACAAGCTCAGCTACCCCGTACAGGAAAGCTCTTTTTTCCCCCACCTTTTTTCCCCCAAAACTCTAAAGCTGGCCGATCCCCCCGGCCATACTCCGAGTCTATGCCTCAAGATGGGAAAGCCTGGCGTTGGAGTTTGGACCCGCGTGGGGGAGTCAAGATGCGGATTGGTCGGAGCTGTGCTAAGACGATCGTAACATTTCCTCAACCCCAGCTTTTTTGTTTGGCTCGTCCCCCGGATGAGATCATCCTGCACATGAGATAGACTAGAGTCGCCCCCACGTCGTCGGTTTATGCCGTTGCTTTTGCTTTGGTCCTTCCTTTACCCCAGGATTTGGGTGGAGTTGGTTGGGCATGATGGCGGTTGCGACCGTGTCATCCTACGATAGATAGTCTTTCCCTTGCATGGGTTGAATTGTTTATATAGCGTTGACTGGACCCTGGGGTCACATCCTTTTTTTTTTATTTCCTACATTGCTTCGTCCCGAGCAGATTTATCGTTGTTGCTGTGCTATCGACGCAACATCTCATCATGGACGACGGGAAGATCACCGATCATGAAGTGATGGGCGAGAAGGCCGATATCACCCACGAGGAGGTGATCCAGGTGGCCCAGTTGACGCCCGAGGAGCAAGCCATTGAGAAGAAACTGCGGCGGCGCATTGATAGTTTAATCATGCCGTTGGTTATTCTCGTGTATCTGATGAATTATATTGATCGGTAGGTGGAAACGATCGTTGTGGAGTGCTACAGAGTGGAAAATGAGTGTAGACTAACCCAGAGCGACAGGAATAACTACGCAGCCGCCAAGTTGCAAGGTCTGATGGACGACTTGAAGATCGATGATCAGCAATACCAGACCGGCCTGTCCATTCTCTTCGTCGGTTATATCCTAATGCAGGTTCCGTCGAATCTCCTTCTGAACTACATGGGCAGACCGTCGCTCTATCTCGGCTTTTTCACTACCGCATGGGGCCTGGTGTCGACGTTGACCAGCCAAGTGAAGAGCTACGGGGGCATCGTCGCGTGTCGGTTTATCCTCGGTCTGGTGGAGGCTCCGTTCTTCGCCGGCGTGCTGTTCTACCTCTCCAAGTGGTATACGAAGAAAGAGTTGGCCCTGCGCATGAGTATCTTCTACTCCGGCTCCTTGCTGAGCGGCGCCTTTGGGAACCTCATTGCTGCCGGTATCCTGAACGGTCTGCAGGGCCATCGGGGGATCTCCGCTTGGCAATGGCTGTACATTATCGAGGGCGCCATCACCATGGCCGTCGGCTTGGCCGTGGCGGTGTTGCTCCCCGACTTTCCCGACACCTGGAAGCTGTTGTCGCCGGAGATGAAGCACGTGGCCAACCGTCGTCTCGCCATCGACGCGGCAGAGGCCGACGTCGACGAAGCCGGCAAGATGAGCCAACTCAAGGGCCTGAAGCTGGCCTTCTCGGACATCAAGACCTACGCGCTCGCCATTGCGTACATGTCCATCACCGGCGCCAGCGGCTTCCAGAACTTCTTCCCGACGCTGACCAAGACGCTGGGCTACACCGAGACCATCTCGCTGCTGCTGGTGGCGCCACCCTACATCTTCATGGTGGCGTACAGTCTCGGCCACTCGTACCTATCGGATCGGTTCGGCCGCCGGTTCTGGTTCTTCGTCTACCCCATCCCCATCACCATCGTCGGGTTCGTCATCTTCATGACCACCGACGGCTTCGGGCCGCGCTACTTCTCCTTCTTCCTCATGATCTTCGTCTTCGCGCAGAACGGCACCGTGTACTCCTGGATTGCCAACTCCATCCCGCGCCCACCGGCCAAACGTGCCGCCGCGTACGCCTTCATCAACTCGATTGGCAACTCGGCCAGTATCTGGACCCCGTATACCTACCGCGACACGGATTATCCTTACTACCGGCCGGCAATGGGGACGTGCATCGGCCTCCAGATCCTGGGGCTGGTCATGGCGGTGGTGATGTATTTCCACCTGCGGACCTTGAACAAGCGGCTGGACCGGTTGGAGGACGAGGAGGTGACGCTGACGCCGAAGGAACTCGAGCGGTTACAGAAGACGGCGGAGATCGAGGGCATCAATATTGCAGCGGCGCGACGGTTGCAAAAGGGGTTCCGATATATGATCTGATTAGGTTTGCGATTGCGTTACCGTGTAGCCAGACATGTTCCTATTCTTTGAGAATTGAGTTTTTTTTTTTTTTTTTTTCTCGAGTTAATGAAACCATATTAATGAGCCATACATGGAGCATGAACCGTACTAAAAACGAGACAATGATGTCAAAAGCCGGTCGAGGTCAGAAGGGGTCATGGGATTGCAGGGCGACCCGCCGCGTACCATGCAATGAACATTCTAGTGCTCATATGCCGTCATCTTACAGAGGAAGAGAACGACCCATTGTATGATTGCGACCGTAGAATCTGCGTTGAACGTTATTCATTTGGACTGATTAGCTTCTCCGCCGTCGGTGGGATCAATTTTTGAGGCATCTGTGTTTTGGTATGGCCCGTTAGGCCCATAATCGGGGATGTCGATCATAGCAAACAATCAGGGGCGATGTGGAACCATCCCTGCTGCCAATCAAGCCATAATTGCATGAGATCAGTTCCACTTGAAGCGGGGATATGAGCTGTTTTGAATAAGTGCCCGTGGAACTCCAGATTCACCCTTTTCGTTGAGTTGATCGATTGCCTTTGTTGTGGGACCGATCAAGACGTGGTTCTGCTATACACACACGCCACAGACGTGGCGATGCAGGCAATGGGAGGAGGGGTTTGTGTCCGTCGTAGCTGATGTTCATTCGTGCAGAGGGCAACCATAAGTACCGTAGAAGTATGCATTCCCCCCGGGTAGCCGATGATATCATTGCACATGAAGCCATCCCTTGCGTGCTGTGTGAGAGGTTCTTTCTTTTGAGCGGTGGAGCATAGCACTCCGATGATGTGGAGGAGAGGAAAACCCGGGGAAACGATGATCGATCACGAGCGATGATTCGTCCAAGAGGTCACGGACGACTCTGGTCCGGTCTCTTTCAAACGCAACAGCTGCGGCGATCCCGATCCATGACCAGGGCTTCATCTTGCGCCGGATTGGGCCACAGACAGGGTCACGTGAGCAGGGACACGACAGGAGCATCAAGTATATAAACCCCCTCCTCCTGACAGCTCGAAAGGGTATTGAATATCTGACGTATTACGGAGTACGGTTCTATAGATTGTCGATCCTACATTATCTCTGTTTGATTCAATCAACTTCAACCGACCTCGATCCCAACCGATTCACCATGTCGTCCACCCTCATCCAGGTCTCGCGTCCCCTCGCCCGTGTTCGTAGCCAGTCGAACACCATGCGCCCCTTCTCTATTGCTATTCCAGCCAGACTAGCTAACGAGTGGATGCACATGCCCAAGCCGAACGGGTTCCTAGCAGAGTACGTTCTGTTCCCTTTCTCCTGAACCCTCGTTTCTTTTGGTTGACGTCGGAAATGACGTCATTCACAACCGGAAGGGACATTCCTCAGCATGGAATGAAATGTGGAATTTAATAGAGTGAACCAGAGATTAACTGATTGAATGGGCTGCAATAGGAAAGATACAACCCCTCGTCAAGGAATCCCGTACGGTAAAAGGATGGAGCTTGACTCCTCTAGAAGTGTGCAGCAGAAGATGTCGGAACACAACCAACGTCTCGACCGGCTGGAAAAATCAATGTAAGTCTGGGTTTCTCGGCAATTCTCATGATGAGTCTCTGCTTGCTAACTTAAACACTTCTAGTCAGCAGTTGACTCGCATGCAGGGCGTTTATTAAGATTTACTAGAACGCTGGTCGTTGCATTGTGTCAGAAATCTGGAGTTTCAAATACATCCAGCATACCTATCAGACATGGCCATCCCCTAGATTGATTCATGGAGGCTGTTATACATCAAATGGTCAATTGGAGAAGAAACATTCTCTCGTTCAAATGACCGCCCAATTTACCCCCACCCGATTTGTCGAGCAGGATATGATACCGTGGAGGGGAATCATCTGGCATGAGAAATTGTATTTAAGTACTGTGCTCGTATTATGGAATGATATCAGTGGGTTTTGTTACATGACTGGAATCCATCTGTACCTTGTGCAATCCGTATTCAATGACCCGCTTGCTAGATATTCTCAAATTAGTATTACATTTGGTTGATGATGCAGGGAAGAACAGGGGCTGCAAGTCGCTGTCACCTGAATGATACCGTAGTTAAACCATCTCATCACATACCTTCATACCTCCATAATAGATTGAAGTGACCTACTCACCACTTAGGATATTCATTCATTCCCAAAAATGGGGACAACAAAATGGAGCCGAAGAAAAATAAAAATAAAAAACGAACACAAAAAGCAACTATATCAAGTATCGCGAAAGCTGGATCTGCAAACAAGTCACCAACAGCGAAATTAAGCTCTCCCTGAACCTGCATGTCTTACGTATGTACATCCGATGGACCACATGGTAAAGATCTTATCAATTAACCAGGCTGTGCAAAACCTTGACGGTCCGATCCGTTGGTGTCTCAAGCCTCCTGACAAAGACGAGAGAACTCTGTCGGAAGTTTAGAACGGTGGCTCACCCGTGTCTCTAATGCGAGTACTCGCCTCATGAACAATGGCACCACGCTTTTCGGGACGTTGCAAATCATCGTGTGGAGTTTCAGCCTCCGGATGCAGATTGTCTCGGAAGCTGTGGCTGTCCGTTGGGGCTTGCTGCAGCCTTAGGGAACCAATGGAATGTCTCACCTGGACAATTGTTCTAGAGGCTGTTTGATTCTTGGAAGGATTAGTGTGGCTGAAATTGATTCGTGGAACTTTAATGTATGATAGTGGAATATTCGTATTGTGTTCGGCATTACAGCAACTCACCACTTAACCATCAAACGGCCACTGAAAGGCTCTGCCCTGTCTGAAATTATTAACTGAGCCCAGATCCAGCTACGAGAGAATACAAAGCAGTCATTCATTTACACCCTGGAGGATGGGATCAGAATTCAATCATATAGAGAATATATTACTGGCAGAGAATGAGAAATAGATATAGTAGTAGCAATATCAGAGCGCAGTCCGGGGAATCTTTATGTATCCTGGCCTTGCATGGGCCACTTAAAAATATTCCATTGACAACATCAAACTTCCATATACCAGGTGTCAGGAGGCTAGCTGGGGTTGGTATAGGTAATGTCGCACACTAGATCCTGGTAATCAGAGAACTTGACCGACTTGTACGCGAACGCCTTTGACCCCGGAAAGATGAAGGACTGCAGCTTGTCTCCGTTGATTGCCTCCAACTCGGGTGGTGCAAGATCGACGCCCTTGAGGCTGTTGACAACTGCGTTAATCCCAGAGAAGGTGTCGATGAAGAGGCTCCTATCGGCGCTCTGGGACTTGTCCTCGTCGCTGGACTCGCCTTTAACGGTCTCCAAACTTCCATGATCGTTAATCTGAAGGTTGTATGAGACAGTTGACTTCCTATCGATGGCATTGATGTCATCTGTGGTGGAGTTTTTCTGGACAAAGAAACGGACAACATGATGCTGTTCAACGGTCATGGAACTGCCCGCGAAAGTGACGGAGCAGTTATATTTATTCCAAACCTCCACCGCCCCGTAAATTCTAAACAGCCCGCTATGGGCTTTGTCCTCACCATAGCCCTCATAGGATATATGTATGACATCTTTATCCTTCTCTGTGACTTCAATCTTATCGGGGTTCTTTCCATATTCTATTTTGACGGGAAAATAGTTAATATGGGGTTTCAAGGGGTCGTCGTCGCCCGTAACCTTGACAATGGGATGTCCGCAATACTTTTGGGCATGAGGTACCAATTGGTCTTTGAGGTAGTTGGCAAATGTGGTCCGGTTGATGGCCATAGTCCCGCTCTTGGTGGCCTTGTCTTCGGGAACAACCCAATTCCAAGTGAATTTGGGAAGCGCTGTATTAGACGGTAACTTCTTATTGCCGGTGAGGCAAAGATAATCCAAGGTTCTGAACTTTTTGCCGTCTTTAGTCTTTTGTAGACTGACATGACGCTGGTAGTCACTCATCACCAATTGGGAGCTGTCGTTGGATTGCGCGACGGCTGTGATGGCGATAAGCGGAAGCCCCCTTTCGGCTGCAGACTTGCTCCAAGTGCCGCTGAACGTCTTCTGAAGCAGCGGGAAGACATCAGATCCCTTATCGAGGTCGGGGAAATCAGGCGTGCTATCGAGTGTGGCGCTATCAAGGTCATAAAGCAACTGCTGCAAGCTGAAAGCCGTGTCCTTGAGGTTCTTGAGCTTGTCTTTTATTTCTTGCTTAACCGTGGGATGGTTGTTTAGGTATGTCGTGTTCAGCTGCTTGTCTAAATCTTCTACCTTGAGATTCACTTTCATCTCCGCATACCAGGGCTTGCCGGGGGGTTGTTTGTGGAGGACTAGCGTGTGATCAGAGGATCCCCATCCACTAGGGATCTGGAGCTCGATGACGGACACCTCCGAGCAGTACAGCCTGAACCGTACATGGGTTGCATCCTCGTCGGCAAATTCCACAATGTCCAAATCCTTGGGTTGCAAACCCGGCGGGATTCCCATTTGCAATTTAAGGCCATATCGAAATTTGGCATCTACCAGGGGCTGGTAGATTGCTTGCTCAACCTTACCAGCTGGAGTTGTAAATGGGTTCACATTATTAGTGAGCTTGAGCAGCTCATCCAATGTGATGGTTTTGTCAACATCGCCTTTGCTGTCCACGAGGAAGCAGAGATACTGCACCGGTTGATCAGAGTTATTGAAGTATGCACGGAGACCATCGTTGATGCTGGTCTCAGTAGTTGACACGACAAAGTCGTATCCAGTCTTGATGGTTTTGTCGCCATTTTTAAAGTCGTACTGGAAGTCAGAACCAGACAGATGCGATTCGGTCTCGGCGGCACCCATGACGTTCCAAATTAGTGATATCGACCGCTTGTTTGAGAGGATTGATAGGTTTAAAAGAGGTGCTTGATGGCTCTTCGTGACCAGAAAGCAAGTGCTCGCTGCTCTCCTGATATACAACCTCCCTCCATCCTTTTGTGTGCAGATTGATTCTCCATGTTACGGGAATCAAGTCGGGGACTGATAAATTCCTGTTACGTGGCATATCATGCAAGCGCCTGCTTTGGGCAGGAAGGAAAAGACATATCAGCTGAATATCCAACTGATCAACGTCAGGTCCACTGGCAAGTGAAGACGTGATTTGCTAAGACACAAAGGAAGGAATTGAAAGCTGACAAGGCAACCTTTGGATGGGTGAGAGAGCTTTGCTGGCACTGCGGGAGCTGACTTCTCTAGTTTTCAGCTCATTTAGCGTATGCAATATTGCCTTCAGTTCATGGCACCTTTCCCGTGCAGAAATGCACGCATCCGCTCAGTCCCATGGTTTGTAGATCCACCGGGGTTCATCCGGGCCAATCGTTCAGATCATGCGTTGTTCGGCTTTTCGACACCCCACCTGCAAGGCCCGAAGCGGACGAGCCGGTCCTTGACTGGAAGTGTGTTCTATTCTAAAAGTGGAAAAGATAGACCTAGGTTCAGCTGAATGTTTTTGCCTTCTTTTGGAGGAGACACTGATTGAATTAAAATCCCTCATACTAACACATTATGTCAGGTGTAAACAGTGAACACACACCCCCATAGCTAACAGGATGAGTGAAGTCGATCGACAGTCTACATATACAGTCGTCGTTGCGGTTCGTATGGCAATCAGACTAGACTTGCACTTCCCCCCAAAACCCAGGACAATTGCCTTTGACTTCATTTGAATTGGTCGAGCATGATGGCATCCACAGACGATTCGAAAAAGAGTCTTCTTCTGACCTACGACACCGAATTGATACAAAACTACATCCAGGGCGAGATAGTTTCCCCGAAACATAAGTTTGAAGCCCTCCAGACAAACAATGGCCACACCCTGCTCTTTGGCATCGACTCTTCCAATATATTTCATGTCATCGAAGAGAGCAGCGGCCAACACAGCACAGGGTGGGCGCAGATTGATCTTTCCACAACGGCGATCAGCTCGCAACTCCCGGGAAAGAAGGATGCGGTGGTGAGGACATTCGACGTCGGGCAGAGTGTTCTCGACCAAACCATCGGAATGGCCATGGCGGTTCGAGTGGAAGGGAAAGACAGCCTTTTCGTATCGCTGAAGAATTCCAACTCGGATACCTCCTGGACGAAGAAACCGGAATGGACATTGGTCCCGTTTGATGCCGTTAATGAGACCCAGCCAAGCATTGCCGTTGCAGGGGTCTGGTTTGCAGAGACAGATAGTCAGAGACAATATCTTGTGGTTGATATTGATCGATCGGGATCATCTACGATCAAGGATATCGCACGCTACTATGTCGACCCCTCTGTAACCTCTGGTAGTCGCTGGGTTAAACATGACGTCCCTATCGATATCGCCGCCGGCAACTATCAAAGCTGTATCGGACGTGTGCGCCGTGGCAGGATCGACGGAATCTACACTGCTGGAACCTCTGGAGGCAGCGCCCAGCTTGATTATGTGCCGCTTGAAAACATCTTCGGGGATGGACCGCCCCTTCCAACCCGGTTCAAGCTGCCCGATAACAAGATTCCATCTGCTATAGCCACTGCTCGCAAGGAAAATGGCGAGACAGACCTCTATATCCTCAATGGCTCGACCCTGTACCGCATAGCAGCCGAGAAGCAGAAGGATGATACTACAGCGGACGCCGTCCTGACGCATAGCCTGCTTTCTGGAACTGAAGTGCTGCGCGCTATGATCCACCAAGGAGTATTGACTCTCTTTGGGAAAAATGGAAGTGATCAGGTCTATTGCCTTTCATGCCACATCGAAAAGGTGGCGGATCCGAGAGCATGGAATGTTCCAGTTCCTATCGCCAACGGAGTGGAGCAGATTTCAGCGTACGTGAACAGGACAGATGGGGGAAACACCATATTCACATCTGGTGGGGGCAGGCTAAGCAAGATCACTCAGGATATCAATACTCTGTGGAAGCCACAGAATATCAAGCTGGCGCCGGCGTCAACCACTGAAAAGGCCCTCATCTTCAAATCTTACACGACCTTCATTCATGTTACAGATGAGAATGAACTAGCGGCCAGCGGTGCCACTCTGAAAATTTCAACGACCTCGCGCACACCAGTCTATATCAACGGATTGTATTACGTCCTTGGACAGAGTCCGATCGAGGTCAAGGCAGACAGAACAGGCTTGATGACGGTGATCGAGGAGACCCCGAATATTAACGGTGCAACGCTCACAGTGTCCACGGATGGAGGCGTGACAAATACTGCCATCAACCCGATGGATAAATCTTTTGAAAAGCTTGGAAAGCTCAATTCCAAAGACTCTCTCCGTGATGCCAGCTTCCCATCAGAGACGCGTGGAGGGGGCGTGGTAGGAACACCGAAGAAAAGCCCGCTGGTTAAGTCATCGACCAAGGATAGCGACCTCGACAAGGTTGCTGGAAATATGGCAGGGCTAAACAAGGCGTATACTCACGTTAAAACGGCAAAGCCTGCCGGACAAGCGCTTCACGGGAACCTTCGAGCCATATCAAGCGGCGATTTCGGTCATGATATCCTCATCGGGATTGGAGACCTTTTCAGTTGGCTCGAGTCTGGTGTCGAAGCCGTGGTAGAGGTTATTTGGCATGAGGCAACGCAGGCATGGCATTTCATCGTGACGATCGCCGGAGATATCTACCGTGCCATTCTAGACACAGTCGAGGCCGTTGTCGCTGCAGTCGAGTGGATTTTCAATGCCATCAAGACGGCGATCAAGGCAATCGTCCAATTTATAGAGTTCTTGTTTGAATGGGACGACATTAAACGGACCAAGAATGTGCTCTACAATATTTCGAAACAATTCCTTCAGCATCAGGTTAACAGCATTGGCGATGCCAAGAATACCTTTAACCAAAAGATCGAATCTGTGGAGAAATCTCTAAACGAATGGGCTGACATCGACTGGTCACCTCTTGGGGATACCATCAGCAAGCCTGCGTCGAGCAGCAGCAAAAGCAACTCCAAGAACCAAACACCTGGCTCTCAGTTACTGGCTCATCATTACAAAACCAACGCCAACAGTGTCAGTGTTGTCGCTGACTCGCCGCTTTCTGGAGATATCAACAAAGACCCGGTCCAGAAAGCCCTTGACGATCTACACAGCGCCCTGTCCAAAGAAGATCAAGTGATTTCCGGCTTTCGTGACCAGATTGGAGAAGTGGCTAAGCAATTCGCGACGATGACAGTCGAGGATGCCATCAAGAAGATCGTGGCTATCTTAGTTGATGGGATTCTTGCCAGCGTGGAGGTGGTGGTCGATGCCCTCCTCGATCTACTCCAGGATCTGGCTACAGCAGTAGTGGGTATGGTTGACGCAAAGCTGCATATACCCATTATTTCCGATATTTTGAATGCCATTGGTATCCCAGATATCTCTTTTCTTGACCTCTTCACCTGGGTTGCTGCTGTCTGCTATACTGTCGTATATAAGATCGCAAAGGGAGAGCCTCCTTTTCAGGACAACAAGGATGTACAATCCGTGATTGATGCCGGCAGCTGGGATGATCTAATTGACGTATTGCATCCTCCGGCATCATCCTCGGTCACTTCTAGCGCTTTCTATGCCATGCCTGTCTCGCGCCTCGCCTCTGAGCCAGCTACCTCTACCTCAAGCAAGCCAAGCGTCCTACAGGATGTCGTTTTCATCGCCGGACACTCCGTGAGTGGAATTTGCGGAGTCATTGGTGCATTTGTAAACGCTTTAGAAGCCGAGGCTCCCACTGGAGATAACCCGATGTCCACACCGTCCGCCATCCTTGGGTTCATTGGCGCAGCATCCCAAGCTGTGGCTGATATAGTGTCACCAAAGGATCCACTTGAGGAGCCTATTTTCAGTGCGCTTAGCACTGCCACGAGTGTTACGACTGTAGTCTCCAAACTTGTGTTCAGTAGCTATGGCCAGAAAAAGCTGGGCAAATTAGGATTACCCACTGCTGGAGACCCACGCGGTATGGGCGCGGGGATTAATGTGTTACTGGTCGGTGTTGGTGCCGCTGCAACAATGAAGCATTTTGTCGAGCTGGCCAAAGATCCAGCTGGAAAAGACCGGTCAGCCGCGATTGTCGGGGAAGTATCAAACCTGACTTCATATATCAGCCGGATCTCGTATGCATTGGCTGTCAATGATATCGACGAAGATACGCGGCAGGTAGTCATTGCAGTTATGACTGTCAGCAATCTCATTACAGCCGGTCTCCAGATAGCAGAGGCTATTATTGACTAGGATTTATTTTAATTTCAAACCTAGCCATATAGTAGTCCAAATCTATATGCAATTTCGCTTTCCTGTGCCTACCTTAAAGAAACATTATGGAAACGTATTCGTAGGATTTCAACAAAGGATTAGTGTGAAGAAATGAAAGAGGAAAAGGCAGCACGTCAGTATAATATGTCAACCAACAAGTTCTATAGATCCCCGGTCGAAGAGGAACATTGCTGACGTTGCAGTTTCTGGGGCGAGGTAAACGCAACTAACGGCAATAGCATTTAATGGTTATTAAAATGTTCTCGAGGAGGAAAACTCCCATCGTGACTGGTTTTTGTCCCCACGAGATAGGGTTCAAATTCAACTCCGATAAAAGCCCTAAAGCCCGATGATATGCGGTGTATCGGATTTATCTCCAAGGCCAGCTACGAATGCGACATGCGATAAATACCACTTAGTGTCCCACCCTTGATGAACTAAAAACATATTCTATCTCCAGCTTCTGATACTTGTAATCATCAGCGTGAAAATAACAAGGCTTCCTACCATGCCTCGCATCTGGTTCATCACCGGCTGCTCCTCCGGCTTCGGTCGTCAATTGGCCATCGCCGCGGCACAATACGGCGATAAAGTCGTTGCGACATCTCGCGATCCATCCAAATTAGACGACCTGAAAGAACTCGGAGTCATCCCGACCAAGCTGGAAGTTCACAACGAGACCGAAATCCAAACCGTCATCGAAAACGTCGAATCCACCATCGGGCCGATTGACATCCTCATCAACAACATCGGGTATATCCTCGAAGGTGCTGTTGAGGAATGCAGGTAAATTCTACACTGCCGTACTTTCTCACTTACGAGAAAAATATACTAAAAAAACCCTCAAGGCAACGAAGAAATCACCACCCAATTCGACACAAACCTCTTCTCCCAGATTCGTGTCCTTCGCGCAGTCCTGCCATACATGCGCGCCCGGAAATCCGGCGTGATTGCTAACTTCGGGTCCATCGGTGGTTGGAACGGTACCCCTGCTGCTGGGCTTTATTGTGCTAGTAAAGCGGCTGTTGCTATCTATACCGAGTCGTTGGCGGCGGAATTGGCTCCTTTTCATATTGATGTTACGTGCGTTGAGCCGGGGTATTTCCGGACGGATTTTCTCACGGGGGGACATAAAATGGTTGCGAAGAAGCGTATTCCGGAGTTGGATGTGAGCACGCAGCAGACGCGTGATGGACTTGCGGCCTATAGTCTGAGGCAGCCTGGGGATCCGGTGAAGGGGGCGCAGGTCCTTGTGGAGGCGTTGACGAAGACGGGGCGCTGTGAGGGACGACAATTACCGCTGAGGTTGGCTTTGGGGACTGACTCATTGACTGCTATTGGGCGCAGCTTGAAGAGGGAGCAGGAGATGCTGGATAGTTGGAGGGAGATTATTGCGTCGACGGATTGCGATGATGTGAGGGGATAGTACGTCGCCTACTCTAGTCGGATTGATTGTATAAACCTTATGATATAATTAGTGGCTTGGGGTGCCTTGAATGGAACTCCAGACAAGTGACTATTCAAAGGAATAAGTGCCATCATAACTGAAGACCAGGAAACGCCGGTCCTCATTAGATGATTCATGCCTCCCCATTTCTACGGACATACAGTAAAGCTTGTATAAACGTCGAGGCACCAAACATAGAATTTGCAACCTGTTTCCTTCGTGCTTCATTATGACTGCGCCTATGCCCAGCAAACCAAGGCATTTCCCACCGAGGTTGGAAAGAAGCCTATCCCGTATCGCCTAGCACTTTGGTGTTTCTTCCTGGTAAAAGATCATGCTGATATAGAAAACAAGATGCTTAGCATGAGCATTTTAATTAAGAGCTCAACCTAATAGATCCCACTTAAGTAAAACAGATGCTATTTACCAAATCACAACCCTCCATCCATCTCATATTCCGCAAAGCGACTTCGCTTCCGCAGAGTAGCCCCAAACCAGAACAAAGCAAAGATCCCAAAAACACAAACCACCGTCAACGCCCCAATCAAACTCGCACCTTTATCAATTCCAAGGTTAACATAAAGCGGAGTCGACCAAAGAATAGACGCAAAAGCAAGAACCGACCGCGCAAAGTCATTCATGGCGAAAAGACTGCCCGCGTATCTTCCATACGAGACAGACATGTAGGCGAACATCGCCTGAAGAAGAGTGGGCATGCCGACCATAAAAAGCAGGAAGCCAATAGTGGGTACAATCCAGTGGAACTTTGGGCTTGAAGTCCAGGCAAAAAGAAACATTCCTGCCGGAACAACCAGTGAGCCCAGAAGTCCGGGTATGAGTCTTTGTTCAGGCGAAGGCATTTTCCCGGCTTTGACTGGACGGCTGATTGTATAGTGAGTAATCGCTAGGTAGAATGGTGTGGTAAGTAACACGGCCACTATGGCTGTTAAAAATATTGCCCCAGTTTGTAATAGGCTCATCGCGTATACCCCCTGGTATACCAGAGGTACCGCTTCGAAGAAGGAATAGAAAATGGCATACACCAGTGCGGTATAAAGTGTAGTGAACAGGATAGCGGGGTCAAATGCGTTTATCTTCCATGGAATGACAAGAAAGTCATACCAAGTCTCTTGAGACAACCCCGTATTGTTCATCTCGGAACTGGACCTGAACGCTTCATTGTCTGTCAAAGTCCGTAGCCGTCTGGCACGTTGATATAAGATGGCTGGACCTGATGTTTCTGGTAGGAAGATCTAATGGAGGTCAGATCTGGAATCATTGTAAAGGTTCGCAGAACGTGGTGGACAGGACAATCAACGAACCAGAAGCAAGAAGCATGGCGCAGCAAAAAAGACAATTAGCCACATGCTCCAGTGCCACCCTTTTGCCGCGACACATAAACTGGCCAAAGTTGGAGCCACGGTAGGAGCGGACACTGCACATACACCCCAGATCCATAACCCGCTAGGTAGGTTGACAAGATTTGTGATATCTGCGAAGGAAGCCGGACCCGTTGCTAGACACGGTGACCCGAAGAAGCCTTGGGCAAAGCGTAGAAAGAGAAACCCGGGGACATTATTGACAACGGCTGCTAGTACACTGACTATCAAGAAAATTGTAAACGAGAGAACGTAGGGTGGGTTGCGGCCTATAGACGGTTTGTCCGATAACGGGCCAAATAGCAAGGGTCCTAACCCATAACCCAGAAGAACCAGGGCCATGCCAAGTGAGCTCACCGATGAGGGCACACCATATTCGGCCTCAAAAGTCACTTCTGCAGGGGTGAACGCCGCGGATGACATGTAGACAACGAAAGTGTAAAAGTTTATCTGGATGTACACCATGATCTTGGTCCAACGAGGCCAATTATGCGGATTTCCCGGGTCATCGTCAGAATACCATCCCACAAGTACCATGCCGTCAGTGGTAGTTTCTGGAACGAGCCATTTTGAAGCATGTTTCTGATCAGAAGAATCACATTCTGCGTCGCAGGTGTCAGATTCCACGTTGCCAACGGCCCTGGAGGTATGAAGTTCAGCTTTTCGCTTCTTATACTTCTGCGATAAGTACTTGAAAATCAAGTCAAAAGAAACACTAACCTCGCAGCTGTTGAATATGCTGGTGACAGACTGAATCCAGGCTCCTCTTCCGGAAATCTCGAGAACTGGCCACCAGAAAGCCAATGGATAGATCTTCCTAAAGAGGTACTACAGAATATGCCCGCCATCACGCAAGTATTTTATTAGCTGCTTGTGGTATCTGGAATGATGGACTCAAACTAATAGTCGACAGTGATGGCCATAAGTACTCGTACCGAAAGGATAACTTGAGACAAGAAACACCAGCAAGCGGAACACAACTGTAGATGAAGGGAACAATCCAGATCTGGATTGCAATGTCCTGGCCATTATATTATGGCGCTGATACTGGCTACTCCACTTTATTAGCCCCACTCCCATACATTTTAATTTATATTTTCCGAGACCAAGTACCTCGGGGGGCCTTGCTCTTTTCCCACATGTGCATCAATAGCACGCTCTACTAAATCGGAGAGTGGTATCGATGGGTTTACAGTTCTGCATGGCCTGGAATTTCTACCAACACAGCATAAGCCTTTCTACCGCTATTTTAGAGCATATCTTGAATGAGGTCCGCTTTGAATATACAACCAGGAGCAAAATGTATCAGAATTATAGAAAAAGCTCATGCACAGCGGTATAAACCTCGTTAAATTGGTCCTGCCGTATTGGCCGGTTTAAAGGGCGGCCTGATAATCTGGGAGAAATCTCGACCGATCTTTGGAGCTGAATTGGACATGCCACGTAAATACCTAGTATTCTCATCCCACTTGGACGCTTACTCCAAAATAGAGCGATCTTCATATTGCGAATGCACGATCATATATAGTCCACCAATAACTGACCCACCCACCCGCATTAGCACTGTATGTGACAAATAACTAGCTGGTCTTAGATCCCATCGACGCAGCGGTATCACACGAGAACAGCCAATAGTGACCCGCCATCCCGGGCCCATGCTGCTAAACCCTGCAATGTAGGATCGAGGAGTGATTTTGATAAGAATCTGAAGAACTATTGATTTTGTTATCTGCACGAGTCCCTTGCACTCGATCCAGCTATTAGTTGCCAAGAATGTGGCGCCTGCATTTTCCTCTACGCAGAGAAACACCAACAACTCGAGTATAAGGTTCGTTATGTTGACAATTCCTACGACCATTGAGATTATTTATGTAGAATTTTAGCGAGTCTGTAGTAGGGCATTTTAAAAAGATTAAAAAATCGAATCGATTGTTGAATGGAACTATACAATCAAATCCAAATACATGCTTCTTGCAGGATCTATCATCTGCAATAAGTAAGGATCAACTGCCGCTGCAGGATCTTTGGACTCGCCTGATAGCTTAGTTAAGCATGCATGTGGGCTACTAGTGTTGAATACAGTAGCAAAACTAATATGTCCCAATGCTCAAAGTCTGCTTTTTCTATTCCAATACACAGACTAGCCCTTTGATAGCTTGCTTAAACAAGATCCAACTGAATGTACCACTGAAACTGCCAGCACGTTGCGACTAAGCAATAGGTGGGATGAAAGGTCTCTGAACTATGGAAAAATACAATGTTTGCGTAATATTTCCCTGTGACTACCTTATTTTATGTCTATCGGCCAGCTTTTTGTTTTCATTCTTTGGTGCGTGGCTTTAGGATACATACAAGATGTTGTAGCCTATCCCTAAGTGGTATAGTCATCTACTGTAGTATAGATTTGGTTGCCTTCTTTTCGTATATAAGTACTTAGTCGGGATTATTGGCATGTTTCTCTCACTTTAGGACTGCTTCTTAGCAGAGACCGCAGTATTTGCAATTGGTAGCTTGTGCCTTTTTCTTCTTGCTGCGAAATAAAAATGCTTGACAGACATCTTCTTATGGCCCCACCAAAGCTTTCTTCTCAACAGTGCCCATCCATCCAGTTACCACCTTAAATGTTTTCTAAATCTCCTGTCGCACGTCTGACAGTATGCTAGTCTGCTGTTGAGAAAATGTCTGTCTAGTTGGGACCTCATATTATTTCGCTGAACCCCCCCACAGCCACATATGAAATCGACGGGGAGGAAGTGATCCCCTCTCAAAGGTTAATACTTGCCCTGTTTCCGGCAGTGAACGACGTATTGTTATTAGTGTATGATATCTTGCCAACCTCCGATGCTTTCATAGTGAAAGGAGATTGTCTTGTCGAGAATGAGATAGAACGATATATTTAAGCCATGAATAGTTGACCACAAACTAAGGTAACTTGATAACATGTTCTCATTATGGGTTTTAAGAGCCTTGGCTCAAAAACATTATCTTCTTCCATCTGAAACACCTCGTCCTTCAAAGAGCTCTCTTCAGAGATTGGCTCTCCATCTGTCGGCGTGGAAATTAGCGACGACATATCTCCCCAATAAGCCAAGCATATTGTTATACTAGAGAGTCCACTCGAGAGTAGGTTCCATTCCACTTCTGGCCATTGGAGCAGAAAAGTTAGAGCGAAAAACGACGTGTTGGAGTTGTTGATTAGATGGCCTAACTAGAAACAACAGGTACGTAGATGAGGTCCTTTACATAGTACGTTTCAGACAAAGTACCCTTACTGCTAAAAGAAAATTCTGGGGAAAAAGTAGTGCCATGCACTGCGGCGCAGTGAAGTTGCGCAAGTGTGACTTCGTCGGTAATGCAACAGTTAGGGTCCAGAGTGTCGGGCCTGAGAAAGCACGATAGCCTCAACATAGTCTCTGTCATTCTGTAGGCCTGATTACATATCTGTGTATCCGTAGGATTCTCAAGGCTATGCAGGGCCGTAATTATCGCTGGGTAGACGGCTGAACTAAAAACGATACAATGAGAAGCATTTTCCTTTTCACGATTCTCATGGTATTTGATAGGGCCTTGGTAACCTAAGGTTCTGAGCATGCTACATTCTATTTTTTGTGTAATTAAAATTACTAGATAAATATGTATATTAGTCTACACCGAGGCAAACATCAAGCGGCAATGCGATTGCATATGCCTTTTCTAGTAAACAATGCATATTTCTCTTTTGTCCACGTTTTCCCACTTCTTGCTCCCTCGAGACATACACTAATGTATTGTAACAAGAGAATCACAATTTCCGAAGAAAGTCTGAAGGGTGACACTGCAGCTCACGGTATCACTAGCTTGAAGCCACTGTGTAGATCTACGATTTTTTTTTTTTTTTTTTGAAAAACCAAAATTAAGACGAGAGCCTAGAATCTCTTCACCTCGGCTATCTTCCGCAGGATTAACTTGTTAATGCAGCGTGATACTGCCGGGTAAGGTTCAGGATTTTCTTCAGCTTGAGATATGGATAGAGCATGACCACAATTCCGATGGTGAATGGCTGGGTGTCAGTTCGACCCTTAGCCTCAAACTAACCAAGACAAGGCTAAAGATAGAGTCACAATTTCTCAAGTGATTCATGTAATAGTCGGTAGTCGGAGGTGTAGAGGAGGCCGGCTCAACCACCAGGTATCATGACATGAAGCCGGAGAACTGATGCAGTTGCAGGGATGTTCGGCGCGTTTTGGTCCTACCTTAATGAGCCTGCTCGGCATTATTGGTGGAGGAACCGGAGTCAAGTGGAGATGCCGATCAGCCTTGCAGAAGAAACGGAGACCAAATCCTGCCGAGTTAAGTAGCGCCAGGCCTTTGTCGGAGAAACTCCTCTCCCCACGCGGGGAAAAAGTCCAACCGATAGCCCTATCTCAACCGCCGGAGATCCTTGGTACCCCTGGATATAAGGGTTATTGAGCCGCTTGGCACAATCGGTATGCGGTTGCCAGTTAAGCCGGTCGATCGTGCGGAATGCTTGGCAGGAACCACTCTCGGAGGTAATTGGACATGGTCCGGACTTGGATTGTCTTGTCCATATACCACTGGATTTAGTAATTGGATGTCAAGCATTTGGGACCAAATACACTCGACGGGCAAATCCTTTGTTGTCCGCATTCGGCCCGACTATACGCATGCCATGTAATTACTCCGCGGACATGATTTCCATAGCTACACGAATCGGACAACGCCGTCCAGCTAGTAATATCCAGCCTAGCTAAGGCGCCCATTCCTTTCGATCCGACATTTCCTATCAGCCCAAAGTGTCTAGTCACAGATAACATCACTGAAACTAACCTGTTATGGTTTGGTACCATGTGTGGATCAGCCCGTTCCGGTACATCACACCATGATCCGAACCACAGGAGGGCGAAATCAATTAATTCTGGCTCAATGCGCAAGGTACAGTCGTATGCAACCAATTGACGAGGGTCTCATCCGTGTCACAAAGCCTCAAGCATGTCGATCACATTAGAAAAAGAAACGCCCTATCCCTTGTAGAGAATTTGGCCGTGTTGACCGCATTGGTCTGAGTGTGCCCGAGATGTGGATCGTGTGCATGCATCTGTTTTTAGGTACATAATTCGGGCGCCATATGGTCCTGTCAATCGACCACATGGAGATGCCGATAACCTTTCGTCAAGGACACAGAGATGGGCGGTTCAAACCGATGTACATTAGACTCAGTATGATCAACGATCAACATAACCCGGGATGTCCAGAGTTGACTAGACAGCTCTGTAGTTGATCTCTTGTGTTTGCATGGACCCTAGACCCTCTATAGAAATTCTCCGGTTCTACTATTCAGGGACTTACTAGGATACTGGAACGCTCGCATGGCAGTTGCCATATGGCAAGCATGCATGACCACCTGAGGCTCAACTGAAGCTGGGTCCCTTTGATTCGACAGGCTAAGCGAGATCTTCGCTTCGTATGCCTCGGAATCTTTGAAGATTCCGACTTTCTTTACTGTATTATGCAACGTAACCGTCTCCTTACTCGGCAGGATGTAATGTGTTTCAGACTTTTTTATCGTCAAGTAATGGCAACTGGAAGGATCAGACTAAGAGAAAGTGGATCGCCAGCGCCATCCAGCCAATATCTAGACAGATCTGTGAGGAATCAGCTGCAGTAAGTTCTGTGGGCGTCAACCCAAGGAAGCTTGTGGAGGCTTTTGGGGACCGCCACGGCGGGTATTTTCTTGTCAAGATAAATTATCTAGCAGAAGTTGTCTGGGAGAGAGATGTTGCAGCCGCATAACTACGCTACTATGCTGGCCTTTCCTATACCCGGCAGACATATAACGTCAAAACGGCATGTAGAGCAACGGTTGCACCCTGGTAACTCGTGGTTGACCCGATGGTCAGTCACCCCAGTAGTTTTCTAGACCTATGGGAACTATAATAAAAACATTTGATTGGTGCACTGCAGGGCGCAGGGTAATATATCGTATCCATCGGAGTTGCGCAGATGTCCATTCTCTTCCGTCACTAATGCCGCTGCCGAGCCACGCGAATAGGCTCAAGCTTATCGGCGCACGCCAGGGTGGATCAGAAGGTCCAGAAGGATGCGGGAGAAAACCTCGTGAAATAATTTCCCTAGTCTATCAGTTTTTATTGGCTAAATTTTATGATTCCTGTTGGTTCTTTATTAAAATCCTGCCATTTTCCTTTTTTGTCGTTTCAGCAGTCATCTCGCAATCCAGGTCGCCCCCGTGGGTGGGTACTAATTAACACTCCAATACGAATGGATTTAACCCTTGGTACTTTTTCAATGCAGTCAGCAATTAAATAAATGCATAAACAGTCGACCTTCATCAAGGATATAAACCGAAGCCTGTCTGCGATTGCCTTGGGTGCATGTATTTTGAAATCATCAACTATCAGCACATAGTTCAGACTGCGGGTTAAAATTGACTTTGATCGCTCTGATCGAGACGAAAACCAACCTATTTCAGCGTCTTCACCCTCGTTAATTAGCTTTTTACTTTGATAAGACCCATTTTATTCTTCTTTCTGTATTACTTCCACGTGGAAGGTTGTTCACCGCAACATGCCTCGTGCCCCACAGAAATGGACCCCAGAGGAGGACAAGCTCCTCTGCCGAGAAGTCCACAATCAATGTAAGTCATGTCGCAAAAGTGTTTCATACATAATGTCTCTAACTCTGTGCCCTGCTTTAGTATCTGAAGGCAGAGTAAGAGACTGGAGATCAATAGCAGACAAGATTCCGGGTCGGACGAATAAGGATTGTCGCAAACGGTGGCACAATGTGCTTTCCGGCGGGTTAAACAAGGGATACTGGACGGAGGAGGAAGACAAGCTGTTGACACACGCAGTGCAAATACACGGAGAGACGTGAGGATCCTCTGTTACCCGTCAGGGAATGAACCCTATACTGACACGTGATTGCGGTAGATGGACGGTGGTTGCAGATGTCGTCAAAACACGAAGTGCAGATCGTACGTTCCTTTGGATCTTCTTTTTTCCCCACAGTTCAATACTAATCGATGTTGTCTTCAGAATGTGCCAAACGATGGAAGCAATGTCTTGACCCGCAACTGGACCGCAGTGAATGGACAGAACTCGAGGTAGGGTTGCATGTCCATGGAAAATCGACGACTGTGATGTTAACATGAACGATTATAGAATCGACGATTGATGGAGGCATGTGCCGTCAAGGGACGACGATGGAAAGAGATTCAGATGGAGCATTTCCCTACCCGTTCACGAAACTCGATCAAGAATCAGTAAGCAGAAGCCTCGGATGAAGGGTGAAATGCAAGACATGAAGTTAACTAGATGGCATTGTGATTAGACACACAATTCTTACCCGGCGATATAACAAACTGAAGAACTTGCGAGAAGCCCAGAATGCTTCGAGCGTGGGGACTGGACCTGAGGACTCAAGCTTGTCGCCGAGCTCATGCGAGGACTCGGGAGACACTGTTGACAGTAGTGACGATGATAGTGGTCTTGGGAGCGGAAGCACAGAAGGAAATAGCGGGCTACATGACCCTCACATTGCCGATGATGATGTGTCGATGAGTATAAATCCCACAGACGCCTTGCCATCGACGAATCAAGGGATCTCTGGACATCATGGCTTTATACACGGGCCAACATGGGATATGGCTGGCACATTGTCGGGAGACCCATGGGGGCTGCCTTCGGTAGGTGAGACGGATAGTATGGGATTATTCCTTAATGGTATGGTGCCAGAACTTCACAGCATCCCACCGGACAGCTTGCATGGTTTTGGCTTTGCTGATGCAACAAGCGGCAAAGACTGCATTTGCCCAAGTTTGTTATCACCAACCGAAGAGTTGCCCAGTGACTACAGCCAAGGAGACAATTTCTGCGACGACCTGAGCGTATCAGCCATGGACACGGAAGAGCAAACCCTCGTATCTTTGCAGGAAAACGTGACTCGTGGGAAACGATGTGCCAAAATAGTGTTGACGGTGGAGGAGCCCGATAATAATACGGTCGAGTCACTGGTGCAAATTGCATTCTCGAGCAAATCACGATTTCATTTCGCCCGCGAGTGAAGTGATTCACCCTGCACTAAGTGGGAGTTTTGAGGGTTGCGGTATTTCCGTCCTATCACGGGACCTTTTTTCGGTGGTCTTTTTCCTTCGGTGGCTTTTCTTTAGTGTTGATATCAGCGAGTTATGGCGTTTCTTTATGTGACATGTATGAGATGAGATATGTGATGGGACAAGTTCCATTATCTTGGACATGAGCTCAGCAGAAAAATATCGATCATCTGCTAATTACTCTGTCCCAGCTGTACCTTACACGAGCTTCTACGGATTATTTTGTTTTTACGATAGATTATTGCTTTGGAGCGTTCGGCGTGCCTTTGGACTTTTGTGTTTCGTATGGCATACTGAAAGGGGCCCGCTGAACCAAAGATTTTCAAATTTGATCATCTTACAGTGTGTATATAGCGGATTCCACAAGATTGTACTAGGATGACATGTTTTCTCAATATATAAGGCAATTACGGCATTCGACATAGCTGTATCAAGGAGGATCAGTATAGTACTTGAAGGCTGATGATATTATGAATTGACACATACTTCAAGAAAGACATCTATTTGCCTAAAGAATTCAGGTAAAAAGGAAAGGAATAGAATATTTCTACTTAGAGCGTAAGTACCGGGGGTTAGGATCATTTTTATTTAGCCTTGTTTGCAAACCCGCGTATGGCCACGGCGACATCAAAGTGAAAGTACGATTTCGGACTGTCTGCTTCTATTCACAGTCCCTTCGCTTGCTCCTTTGCAGTTTGCTTCTGAAGACAGAGTTGACAAAGTTCTTTGGGTGTGTTGTATAGGCAATTTCCTAGCAGTCAGATGAATATTTTTGTAATCGCACCCCTATTCTCCTGCGGATGTAGTAATGACAGGCTCGGTATGTTGCTTCCTCCCTAAGCCTTTAGCAGTTTCTATTTCCTCAGAGAAAGCATAGGTACAGCAAGGCTCGCACAAGAACCAAGGAATCGGCTTAGCCATCTGTGAAATTCTTAACTAAATCGCTTCCTCACCGTCTATCGCGCTTCAGGAGCTGGTGCACTACTGCAGCTTGAAGAGGTCAAGCTGACGGGTACATATCCATACAGCGGTGAAGGACGAAGAAGAGCAATCCAAGGCAAGGACTAAGGACCCGGTTTAAAAAGGCATAGAAGTCTCAGGTCTGTGCACTTTGAGTTACCCCTCCTAACATAGGACGATTAGCCTAACACAGGCAAGAACGAGACCCTGATCACATCATTTAATCTCTGGCTAGAACAAGCTTTACCGGAGTTTTCAAACGTATCTAATAGTGCTTGATCCTGCTTTCCAGGGGAGCAGAGGTAAAGGCCTTTCTTCATCCATAGCCTTACTCTCATGCTTTATCATTCTATATGGAAAGGTCCACGTTGTCCCAATTCCGAGATAGATCAGAGGTTATATACCATCCCACTGGGGACTAGCGGATTTAATGGAACAAGGGAAACAGAAGAACACCAGCCTGCCGATTCAACAAGGAAAAGTTTTGCCGCTGTTGACGCTGCAGTGCAGCACAGATAGCCAGACGGCCAATCAATACGCGACACGCATGGTGCGGGGACCTACGTTCTCTTCTCTCATTGAAGTCTTCCTTTTTATCTACAAGCCCACAAGGATATCACCGAATCTCAATAATAATTCAGTTGACCGAGAAACAAACGCAATGCGGCCGCTGGTAGACCTACCAAATGAACTTTTGCATCATATTGCAGGCTATCTGGCCCTAGAGTCAGATATAAATTTGTTAGCTAGGACGAACCGCGACCTTCACAGTACAATCAACCCTCTTTTGTATCGTCTCAATGCCATGGACAGACAGATGCCCGCACTCCTGTGGGCTGCAGATAGGGGAATAGTTGAGACCGCTCAGCATTCACTGAATGCTAGTTCTGGAGTTTCAAACAATGTAAAACTTGGGATAATCTATGATGCACTGTCAATAGCAGTGCAGGCGGGACACACAAGTATCGCGAAGAGTCTTCTACTGCAGAAGGGAGTCGATCCTAATTCCCAGTATCAAGAAGAGGAAAATTTCCACAAGACATTTTTAGCAAGAGCAGCTCAGGCAGGACATGTGGATATGGTCGCCCTATTGCTGTCAACAAAAGGCATCAACCCGAACCTTGGGGATGACATGGGGAGACCATCAATTGCTTATGCGGGATTCTGCGGGAACGAAAGTGTGGTCAAACAGCTGCTTGCCGCTCCGGGCGTAGATCCTAATTACAAAGATCACCATGGCCGTACACCATTTCCCTGGACAGCTGGTCACGGATCGGAAGCACCTGTGTCCCAATTCCTATCTCGAGAGGATGTTGACGTGAATGCCGCCGTGGCCACTGATGACATGTTCAAGAAGGGATGGACCGCCCTGATGTTCGCGGCTAACTGGGGATCTGCAGAGAAAGCGGAGCTACTGCTTACGCCATATATCAATGTCAACCACCAAACTTCTGTGGAACAACAGCCTTAGAGTTGGCAGTGAAAAATGGCTCTGAGTATATCGTGCAGCTTTTACTTGCAAAGGGGGCATACCCTGACCCTAAGGACTGGCGTGGCGCAACGCCACTATATGCTGCTGCAAACTTTGGTTATCTTCCTATCCTCAACCTGCTCTGTCAATCAGGAGCTGATCCAGACCCTGTCGCTGATGATGGAAGTACTGCAATCTCCATAGCCTTAATTGAAGGATATACAGATATTGTTCGATTTCTTTTAGAGACAGGAAAGGCGAGCCTACCATCTCAAGAAGGCGAGGAAAGACGCTGTGCTCTGTCTTGGGCTGCGGAGCGAGGATATCGAGAGATTGTGAGTCTATTGATACAATATGGTCAAGATGTCAATACCAAGGATTACAAGGGACGAACACCACTCTCACATGTAGTTGAAGGGGGGCATGTTGAAATCATCAAGATGCTGCTCCTGAACACGTCTTCAATCGACCTTATGGAAATAGATGGCGATGGTGAAACTCTATATTCCCGTGCCACGAAGCATGACAATCCTGAAATAATGAATCTGTTGGAGTCGATCAAATAATACCCTTATACGCAAATATAGCCATACCCAGTATTCGCTACAGCCTACAGTTATAATTACAGCAATAATACTAGAACTTTGATCAAGACTGGACATAAGTAGATGTATACAATACATAAGCAATAACTATAATAGCAAGAAGTGGAACAGAGTTGCCTTTTGGGTGATTAATATTTTTGTATTGGAAGTTGAGCAACAAAATAGATAACCAACAATCAGGATATCCTCGCAGATAGTATAATAATAAATAAGATCCACTAGTGCGTATGTGTGTATGTAACTGAATCCATTGGGGGAGATAGAAAAAAGAAAAAAAGGTAACGGAACTGCTCCCACGCGGATTTGAACCGCGGACCTCATGATTACTAGTCATGCGCTCTACCAACTGAGCCATAGGAGCTGCTATGAAATATTGAGCCGCTTATTATTGTAGACAGACTAAAGCTATTCAGCAATAGACAAATTTAAGCCATCTTCCTCTCCACCCGTCACCATCAGAGTTGATTAACACAGCCATTCGACTGTCGCAAGTCCCAACATCATACCAATCACGGTCTTTGCCATATCACTACCGGTAACGGACAGTCGCAGTGATGCATTCGGGGTGGACGTGCTCGTTTCACTCGCGCTTGTGGTCGTAGCAGCAGTATCAGACGTGGTTGTCGCCGACGCCGTTGGCACATCGCTGGATTCGCTGATGGCCGTAGAGGAGGATTGCGTTGACCTTGTCGATGTCATGGTAGCATTCGTTGCAGTCGTGGTCGAATTCGATCCCGTTGAGAGACTCTCAACTCGGAAACCATGGATGTCTACCGACGACGCTTTGGAAAAGCGCTCGGTCGCCTGTCCCACAGCCTTGCCCGAACAGTCGTCGGTGCCGTACAATAACATATTTATCTTCTTTTCGCCTTGCGCATCGATGGCAAATACCATTCCCTTTTCATGATTGACAGTGATACACTTGGAGGGCCCGTGACCGGATTCCACGTGTGTTGTGTTGCTGGCGTCTTTCCAGGTGAACTCCCACGCAGCGGTGGAGGGAAGAACGGCTAGGGCAGAGACCGATAGAGGGAGCAATGCTGACCACTTCATGTTGATGGGCTTTTACTAGCTGACAGGAAAATCGAAGGCGTGTGCGTAGGGTTGGAAGAAAAACGGGAGGCGAAGAAGAGAACTCTTTCTGCTGTCGGGGTGGAAGCGTCCCTTCTTCACTTTTAAGTATTCGACACTCTCGACCCTGACTGTGAAATGACTTCCCCAAGCACGGATGGTGAACTGCAGATCCTCGTATTCATTTGCCGAACAACCACTCAGGACCAACGCTGATCATCCAGTTTTCTTGGCATAGGGCATTAGCTCTGCATTGATACGGGTTGCCAGGAACAAGATGGCCGGAGAACCAATGTCAGGGGGATAGTGGCGTAACTGATAGGGTTACATTGCGTTAGTTCTTCTCTGGCGTGTTAATGGGAAAGTACTGAGTGTAGGATAAATTGATTCGCACGAGGGTTTGGGGCTCAAAGGATAGTTACTGGATTTCTCACCATGATTGTGGATGTTGCCAAGATATATATATTCTTAAGGTAGTGCGAAGTCCAACTACATTACACTCTAGGCTAACCTAACTACGCAGATGTTTATGAATTTGTTCTCGTCAATGTGTGTTCTTGGTACACCTATGATAAACATGAGAGGCTGTCTCCAGTGTTTCTCGACGTACAGTACTTTCTTTCATTTGGGGTCAGGGATGGTTGATTCACATGACTCAGCAGGTAATGCACTATACTCTTTACGGTAAGACCACAACAATACCTCCTACCTTTAGGAATCTCATACTAACACATACTTGATACTGCACTCGAATTATTGTGCTCCAAGAGTAGACTACAGACTGGTCTATATACAATTCCTGGACGTGTGATCATGAAATAGACCTCCATGGCCCCTCATCGCCCAGGGTGTTGGTACAATTGGCTCTTCATTCAAAGCCCGATCTGTCACATGTCTTCAGGTCACATGCTGAGCAGTTGTCTTTAGACAGTGAGGTAGAAGTGAACGAGGAGAGAGCAACTTCATATCATAAAACCATCACATTCTGGTACCGTAACACGATCAGTGTCGACCTGGCCATCGCTTTCTTCTGGATTCCTTCTGCCTTTTGTCATTGCATTTGATCCTAGATTACCTCTATAAATTGGAATACACTCGATATGAAAAGGCTCTTCTCAAGATTTAAGCACTCGATGCGGATTTCCGTGTCTACCTCGGACCCAATTCGTGCAGCGACCACAGGTCCAGTCGGCTCACCCCAAACTACCGGTCGACATCAAAGCTCTATGCCAGCGTCGGTACCAGGAGGACACCAGAAACGGGTGGTCTGCAATGTACTACGTCGCAATGCACCGGTGGAAGACCTTCCACTGGAAGTTCGGCACCACCCTCTTTGTATGCTGGAACTAGAAACACTTAAGGAATTAGTCCACGCGTCTCCTGTTTACCACCAGCAGTATCTGTTAGCGCGCAAGCGCTTGCTTTGCAAAAGCTTGGAGAACAACATTGAGCACCGCTACTGTTGACGCTTGTGCTGTTTATCAGTCTGGCTTGGTCAACTTTTCTTACTCGCGCACTAAAGAGAAAGTGAATATGTTTCTTCAATCCTACCAGGACCAGCGGGGCTCATCCCTGTATTCAGTACCGAGGGAAATGTCTAGCGTTGATGCGCTCGTGGCCCTAGCGGTGTTCTACTTCTCAATCGTCAAACCACTCGCAAAGTATTACACTAGCTGGGCGCTGGGCAATCTCGCCGCAGAGACGGACAAGCCACGAAGTAACGAGCCTCTATGCAAGATGCAAGAGACACGACTAATACGTGCCCTGTATCGGTTCCAGCTCTGCTGTAACCTGTTCGGAGCTGGCTGCCAGAAATCCTCTCAGAAGCAAAGACTGGGCTTCGACTCTGTGGAGATCGGGACGATATTCTTAGACTTATTCGAGCCTTGGGAGGTCGAGGAAATCTCCTGTATCTATCACTTCGCCAAGGAAAGATATAACCAGATCTTTAACGACATCCGCTGGGATGTCCACGAAGAGAACCCAAAGTTTGAAGGACAACGGCCACCCACCCCTGAAGGAGCATTTGACCTAGATAATAGTTGTTAGTCTGCTCCATTCCTCTGCGTTTCCCTGCCAGCAACACCCCTTTGATACTCGAGAGCAACTGACTTTATAACAATAACAGGGATCAGGGATAGTCTCCTGAAAGGAACAATCTCCTGCGGTCTTGACCTCTTGCATATGGTCATCTCTAAGATAAAGGACTACAAAAATCTAGTCATGACTATGCAACAGCACATATCGTGGCCGACAGGCAATTTCCTCGAGGGTGAAGCCCTAGGTGAGTCCGCACAATCCCAGCGACGCCAGGATTGCCCTCGAATCGGGACTTGCGACAGGAGAGAGGTGACCCACTGCCATTCCAAGGAGATGAGTTCCCCGATGCAAATGGAGTACGTCCACCTCTGGCTTGGACCCTGATATGGAAGGGATCGTACAGCAACCTATACGGATACTACGTGCAGGATGTCATCCGCAGCTGGGGATATGTTATGTGGGATGCGACGCGACTCGACCGCACCGGCGCAAAAGAGCTTTTGGCACGACAGTGGGAGGCGGATTGGGGGGACACTGACTCAAGAGATAATCTGCTGTAGTGGTGCGATCGCCGCTCAAAGAGTGGCTTAGGTGCTTTGCTTAGAGCAAACAGAATCCTTCTGGAAGTTAAGCTTTGACCGATTAAACAGTATTGTTGTTTTTAGGGCGTGTTTCTATAGGTCACACGGCCAGCCGGCGAATTGAGGCCCAGCCACAGCTTCAATCTCTATTTCAACCTCAACCTCTCAGTTTCATCTCGGCTCCCTAATCATGAGGCAAGTTAGCCTAGACCGACTTTTCAGAGTTCAGTAGTGAGGACTTACGGGATCATGAATTCTTGATCTCCTTGAAACCTATCATGCTCTCCATGAGGTAATGCCGCTGATGGAGGGGTACACGATAGCCTCTATCATCGCAAACAGCGATAGATCCTTAGATCGAAACTCAATAATCGTATCCCCAAAAGGCTAGTGACCAGACAAAGTTCCCAGATTGCCATATGCACAGGCACCACACCGACTGAAGTTCTGACGCCATCGCGAGTGACCTGGTAGCTGCACGACGCGCAAGCGATACAAAGAAGTACCACCGACGATCTGACATTGCCAATGCTCGCGAGTTTATCCAGGAACTGCCAGCTGACAAGAAGGATGACACGAGCCATGGGCCTTCTCCAATGGAACTGTGACTTGGCAGAGGTCCAAGCTGCCAAGGCTCGCCAACTTCGGTCTCGTGGTAAGATGATCGCGATGAGTGGAAAGCTGGGCTCCCACATAGTTGGGCATCACCCCGCAGTCGTTGCATTAGTGTTAAAATAGTGTTAGAGTATCCCCAGAGTTTAACCCCGGATTTTGTGGCTCGAGCAGTCTTGGCAATGCATCCTGATGGAAAACGTGCGCGTTGATGCTGATAATGATGAGAGCTCTCAAGGACACCGCTTGTTGCGAGAGTAAAACATCGCATAACTGTGCAAGAGTTGCTCATCATAATCTGCTCAGAGGTCTTTATGACATGATGTCACGGGCGATATTTAAGCTTACGAGAACCCCTGCTACTTGCAGGGATATCCCGATCTTGTAAGTTTCTAGGGTGCAACTTCTCAGTGCCCCTGATTTCCTTTGGCCTAAGATTGATACCGACCACCTCAAAATGTCTGCATCAGATATTTCCGACGAGAAGCAACATAATGCTCAGCATGTGGAGAGTGTCAGGAGCCTTGTCACCATTGACAATATCCAAGTGCTCGGTCTGAGTCCTGAGGATACGCACTTCTACACAAACTTCTCGGCGGAACAGAAAAAGACACTCTTACGCAAGGTACGTTTTCACTATATGAGCGCATTCGGACCGAACTGATCTATACCATCTGGAATCAGGTCGATATTCGCCTGGTGCCAATGTTGGCCGTGCTTTACTTGATCTCTCAGATTGACCGAGCCAACATTGGAAATGCAAAGATTGAGGGGCTCACGGAAGACTTGCGACTAAGTGGCATCCAGTATAACATTGTACTGAGCATCTTCTTCGTCCCCTATGTGCTTCTGGGTAAGCATGCCTTACGACCTGACAATTCATACGGCGCTAACCGTGATTGCAGAGGTGCCAAGTAATATCCTACTCAAGAGCTTTTTCAGGCCTTCAGTCTATCTGGGAATTCTCATCACTTGCTGGGGAATTGTGATGACCCTAACAGGCATTGTGCAAAACTTCGCTGGTATGTTCGTTACACGTCTCCTACTGGGTGCCTTTGAGTAAGTCCTCTTTCTCCAGGCTATCTACTCAACTATGTATATCGCTAATGCTCCTAAAGAGCAGGATTCTACCCGGCAGCAGTATATCTGTGCACATTCTGGTATATGCCGAAGGACCTCGCCTATCGCGTCTCCATCTTTTACTGTGCCAGTGCGCTTTCTGGGGCTTTCTCGGGTCTTCTGGCCGCCGGCATTGCGCAAATGCATGGAATCGGTGGCCAGGAAGGCTGGCGATGGATCTTCCTGCTAGAAGGACTTGCGACGGTGGTTCTCGGCGTGATGTGCTTTTTCCTGCTCATTGATTCACCGAAAAGATCAAGCAAGTGGCTTAGCCCCGACGAAATCCGATACCTTGAGCTGCAACATTTCATAAAAGAAGGGGGCGATTTCAAAGACCAGAAAAAGAGGGTTTCTTGGGAGGAGCTTAAAACTGTCTTTCTCAACTGGAGATTGTATCTGCTGGCGTACATCTTGCTCTGCCAGTCTGCCTCCGCCTACGGTTGGTTAACTCCTCATCTGTGGCTCGCGTCGCACTCATCATGGAATACATAGGCCTCAAATTCACCATGCCTACTATCACGAAGGCCATGGGTTTCACCAATACGAACGCGCAACTCATGGTTGCGCCCCCGTATATTGCGGCTGCCATCTCCGCCATCTGTTTCTCGAAATTGTCCGATCACTTCTACTGGCGAATGCCCTTCGTCGCGATCCCATTGATGGTCGTCACGATTGGCTACTCAATTGTTATCTCGTTCCATGGACAATTGAAGGAGAACATTGGCCCTTGCTACTTCGCCATGGTACTTGTCTGTATCGGTCTCTACCCGACCCACCCTGCAACTACCTCATGGTTGGCCAACAACCTGGCTCCATCTGGGCGCAGAGCCATTGGCCTTGCTCTTAGTATCTGCCTTGGCAATACCGGCGGCGTTATCGGAAGTTACATGTACATGGATAAAGAGGCCCCCACGTATTACACCGGGTTTGGCTTGTCACTCGCTTTCGGTGGCTCTGGTTTGATTGCAGCGCTTCTGCTGGAGCTTTCGTATATTTATGGCAACCGGAGGAAAGCAAACGGATCCGAAGCGGAAATCAGAGAGCAATACAGCGACGATCAGCTGTTGGCGATGGGTGACAAGTCTCCATTATTCAAGTACACGCTGTGAGTGGTGTTGCATGTCGGGATTTGCGTTCTTCCTAGGCCCAGCGCGAATACTTCAGGGTTCGCAATATAAGTACTATGGCTATTCTCTGAGATATTCGATAATGACTTATGATGCGGTTATTTCTATCAGTTCCTATCAGGGTGTCGTAGGACGCATGTACATCAACAATTAGGCCGTAAACACTACTGGAAAACTCCTAGCTAAGAATAACAAGCAGACTTTCTGGTGAGAGCACTTTGGACAATTGCTGCCAATAGTTTTTTGTATGAAACCCCATTTTCTTCGGCACTCAGCGCCAACGGAGAATGGCCGGGAAGAAGGCCGGAAATAGGATTCAGCTATATGATATTAGATAAAATCGTCTTTGTTAAGATAATATCGACCTTGGCAGGCTTATCTCTAGAATGTTAGGGACAGTATTGTACTCATTGGAGTTGAATCGAATATCGACATACCCAGTATCGCGGCAGTCTAAAGTTCTCCAAGTATCCAATGCAACCTGGCAGACAACCTTAACCTGTGGTTCAGTTATAAGCACAGGGTCATTCTGTCCTACTAGTATATTTATATCGCTATACTTACTTTTTCTGCTAATAAACTCTAAACTGCTGGAGCTTCTATTTGCTCCGTTACTGTCGCTGGAGGGATTTTGCTATAGAAGCTTGTTAACGCCAACTATATAACTCTGGATATCAGTTCCTAGAATGCTTACTGAAAACTCCTGTCCCGGCAGAAAAGGTTCCACCAAGATATTTTGGTTGGGTAATTTTGAGTTTAGCTTTTTGACTGCCGATTCTAACTCGGTAGGTTCTGTTACTTTACTAAATCTGTCGATCCCCTTAGACAATCCTTCTGTAACTGGCTTTAAAAAAGTAGAGAGTGCGGTAATATATTGTTAAGATTCTCAAGTCTCACTTTCTGATCCTCCCGTGAGATCACCGAGAATGGAGCGGCAGGTATGTTATGATGAGCCAGAATAATCTAAGTGCCTATTATAGTTAGCAGGGCCGTGGCCTTCAAGTAATGACCCAATAGATACGGTACCTTAGTATGGACCTTAGCTATACCACCCGTTTAAGCCTTGTGTTCCATAATATCAGCAAACTTGCTACGATAGAGTCTAGCTAGCCTTGAATCGAGTAAATGCCGAACAAAAAGAAACAGGCAATGAGCGAGATCCTCCACCTGGGCCATCCTCGCTTCAAGTTCGGCTTCCGACAGCAAGGGTTGTCCAAGCTGTTGTGTTGCGCCTGTGCATAGAAATGTGTCCAGATTGAAATATAACTTCCTCTATTGGCATCTAAAAAAAAAAAAAAAAGGAAAGACGTAACACAAAAGTAACAATGACAGCAGTACGCTAAAAGCATTCTAATACAAAGAAAAGCAGATCATACATCCAGAAGCCCCTGAACAACATCCTCCACTCCGTGAAGCATCTCCTCCATCGGTTGATCAGAGTCCAGCGAAATCACATCACTTTCAGACCCAGATGGACTCTCCAACGTATCCAATTGCGAGTCGACCATCGCGAAACTCATATAATGACCCTCCTTAGCAGACCGAGCAATGAGGCGTTCCTTCAGCTGCGCCCGATCCTTGATGGACAACATAAGAAAGGTAACATTGACGGGGAAATCAAATAGTCGTGACAAGCGTCGTAGTTCGTCGCGGTAGATAGTCCGGAGCGCCGAGCATGTTACCACCACCGCTGGTGCTGCCGAGCGTTGAAGCCGGTCCATTACCGCTCCACGAATATGAGCCAACCAGTCCCACCGGTCGCTATCGGTGAGAGGAATATTGTTGGCCATCCGCTGTCGGGACGCTGGAGAGTGGAGATCGTCACCTTCAATGATGGGCATGCTAAATCGTTGCGCCAATGCCTCGGCGGCCGTACTTTTACCGCAGCCGCAAGGACCTGCCAGGAAGATGACCTCGCGGGACTTCTTAGAAGCAGATGTTGTATCCTTAGTTGACCAGCATTGGTTTTGGAAGTACCCCATGAATCGCGACACGAATTGTGCATTGAGCCCTCCCGCTTGGCGCAGAGCTGGTGCACCAGCCTGGGCCTTCTTTGTGTCATAGAGGAGGACTCGACTAGGCCGATCGTGGTCGTACTTGCTAGCGAAGAACTCGATCAAC